GCATAAGAGACAACCGCTGGCAGCTGCAGCACATAACCGCAAGTACCACCAACCGGGACTCACCCTTCAATAGGGGTACCAACCTCCTTATGGACACTGGGGGAAACGAGACTGTTCTCCTAAACCACACTGAGCTGTGAGCTGGGGGGACGGACATACCAGGGGGGGCACCTACCCAGCTCACGCACCCTGGGGGGGGGAAGGCACTGGGGAAGCGCAAGTGGAGCACCATCAGGGGACGGTACCGAAGGCAGACGGAGGGGGAAGCTACCTGCTCAGCTAGACACTGCCATAGGGCAACACGCATATGCCTACTAGACAAGCCCCTCCCCACAGGGGAAGCTACTCGCCCCCGTGCACGCAAACGAGTTAACATCCATGGCACAACAGACGGGCTACACACGGCTCGACACCACGGGGGGGTACCAGGGGAAGGGGGGAGCCAGCTAGAGGGGGCCACACCTAGGGACTGAAACCATCGCGTAGGGACCAACCCCAGGGGGGCAGCGACCCCAACCCAGGCGCATTCACCAAGGCTGACCCGAGGGGGGGGCGAAGGGAATGGGGGGTGTAAACTCCGAAGCTCCTCTAGGGGGGTCCCACTCATACACGGACGAAGGGTGGGGGGGACACGCTGCAGAGGGGCCCGGGTACGGGATAGGGAGAGAGGGGCACCTGAGAGGAGGGCCGGTAGGGGACGACCCGAACCATCCCTGGAGGGGCAGAGGGACCTGACACAGGTGCCAGAGAGGGGGAGGTACGGGAGCGAAGGTTAGGTACTCAGCCAGGAACACAATCAGGTTATAAAGCAGGCAGCTGCAGGCCACAACCAAGTTCACAGTTTAAAGTTTAATCCTAAGAAAGGTTTATTAAGTTTAAATGCAAAATTGTTTTGTTATCTGATTCTTCTTTGCCTACGCACATGACAGGCGCCTGAGACGGCAGCTTGACCTATGACCCGGAGCCAAACACACAGGAACTTTACCGAGGAGGACGTTCATAACGACCAGAACCTGACAGATAGAGCCGACAGGGGGACTACACGGACCAAACGGACCGAGAAACGCAACTCAGGTACACATCTACCACCGACATACATGCGGACGCAGGGAGGACTGGTTCCACCCAAAGTCCCTTAGCTTCCTTCTACTGCCCCAAAGGGCCCAGCGACCACAGACAGGCGAGCAGCAGCCGTGGACCACAGGTGGCCGCTGGCTAAACCGCTCCCCGTCGCTGACACCTCACTGTCACCTTACAGTGACAAGGACACGTACACCCACACCCCATACATACCCCCCTTCCCCCCTTCTCTTTCTTCTTTTCCTACAACCCCCACCCGACCTACGACACAGACAGGACGTAAACGCCAGAGGTCTCAGTAAACCAGAGAAGCTCTCAGGAGCGCTGAGAGACTTCCACGCTAAACGAGCCTCGATAGTATTAATACAGGAGACACACTTCAAGGACGGGTCCAGGCCCAAATTGACAAACCATCACTACCCCACGGGATACTACAGCGACTACCACGCAGGGAGGTCCAGAGGCACGGCCATTCTAGTTCACAAAAATATACCTTTTGTAGAAACGGGACAGCTGACGGAAAGGGAAGGCAGATTCCTCTTCCTCAAGGGCACAATAGCAGGACAGGCCTATACATTCGCAAACGTCTACGCCCCGAACACCCGACAATACAGATTCCTGGCACACACACTTAGGAAACTAAGGCCCTTCACGGAGGGAATTCTCATAGTGGGGGGCGACCTAAACGTAGCGCTCAATCCGCGGTGGGACACCTCCGCCGGACGATCGTGGGTCCCGGCGCAAAACCTAAACTCAATCAAGACCCTTCTAACTCGCCACCAGCTGATAGATTGCTGGAGGGCCTATCACCCGGACGAGAGGGATTACACGTTTTTTTCACACGTGCACAACACTTACACCAGACTAGACTACCTTTTTACCACGCACTACCATCTACCAATAACTAACGCTGCAGAACATGGGGTGGCGACATGGTCAGACCACGCGCCGGTAACCCTAACACTCTCGTCCCCCCTGTACAGACCCCGGCACAACAAATGGAGGCTTAACGAATACCTCCTTACTAGGCCCTACTTCACGTCCGAGGTTAACGATACACTCAAAGAATACTTTGAGACGAACACAACCGAACACACCTCACCGACCATTAGATGGGAGGCACACAAAAGCGTGATACGAGGACACTTCATCCGCCAGGGGTCCACCCTTAAAAAGCAGACCGACAGCCGTCTGACTGACCTAGTGGCCGAAATACACAGGGTGGAAACACTCAACAAAAACACCCAACAAACGGCACACCAGGCGACACTAATACAACTCAGACGGGACCTGACGAGCCTCTTACATAGGAAACACCACAGAGACGTAACCAGACATAAGACCTTCTTCTTACTTCACGGCAATAAAAGCGGTAAGCTACTGGCCAGAATGCTAGCCAAACAGAGACAAAGGACGTACATTGATAAAATGAGGGACGGGCAGGGCACCCTACACCACCTACCCTCTAAAATCCTCGACATAACGCGGGATTACTACGCGAACCTATATGCCCTCCCCCTCCTAGATAGGGCAAAAGACAGCCTGCGGGAGAAAATACAAGCCTACCTGTCAGCCCACCCCCTCCTGTCCATAGACCGGGAAACCGCAGAAAGCCTAGACGAACCAATTTCGATAGAGGAACTAGCTTACGCCATTAAAGTGACGAAACAGGGTAAAAGCCCCGGTCCGGACGGGCTCCGATTAAAGTATTATAAAACGTTCGCGGAACACCTATACCCCCCTCTCCTAGACGCCCTGAACGCACGGGAAGGACATCACCTGCCAAAACAGTCACTGACCGCACACATCGCACTCATCCCGAAGGAAGGGAAGGACAGGGAAAATTGTGGGAACTACAGGCCCATCTCACTTATCAACTGCGACGTCAAATTGTTGGCAAAGATACTGGCCACACGCCTCCAGACACACATCCCCACTTTAATACACCCAGACCAGGTCGGCTTCGTCATGGGCCGCGAAGCAAGAGACAACACGATCAGGGCACTGACGCTCATGCACAGATGTAATTGCGGGGACGAGGGCGTTCTACTGCTGTCCACGGACGCAGAGAAGGCCTTCGACAGAGTCGACTGGCAATACATGTTACATACACTGGCCCACACCGGGCTGGGACCGCACTTCCGGAGATGGGTCGAGGCATTGTACGACGGGCCCACCGCCCACATCATAGTAAACGGAGCCCTGACGAGTGACTTCCCCATCACCAACGGCACGCGGCAGGGGTGCCCCTTATCACCCCTGCTTTTTGTGCTGACACTCGAACCTTTTCTGACGCACATACGACAGGACGCAGCAATCAGGGGCATTGGACATGGAGACACACAACACAAAGTCGCGGCATATGCCGATGACCTCCTCTTCTTTATCACCAACCCGGAGGTCTCGCTCCCGAATATCCTGAGGGCCTTCAGGACCTTCGGGGAGATATCCAACCTCAAGATCAACTTCACAAAATCCTACATCTTGAACATTAGTATACCAGAACACAGAGCCTCCCCCTTAAAGCAGAGCCACACATTCCAATGGGCACAACATCAAATACAATACCTAGGCACATGGCTGACGAGGAGGGAACCTGATCTATTCAGACACAACTTCATCCCCCTACTAAACAGGTGCCGGAAAGACCTGTCGGATTGGGCATACCCACACATATCCTGGCTGGGCAGGGTCCAGGTTATAAAAATGAACTTGCTCCCACGCCTGCTATACCTCATGCAAGCCCTACCCATTACCATCCCCAGATCATTCTTTCAGGCCCTGCGACAGGAAACCGGGAAATATATTTGGGAACGCAAAAGACCGAGGGTCAAACTAGCCGCACTGACGCTGCCCAAGGACAGGGGGGGACTGGCCATACCAGACTTCTCCCTGTACTACGAATCCTGTCACCTCCAACGAATTATGGAGTGGACAAAAGAGAAGGTGCATAAGAGATGGAAAGAGGCAGAGGAAACGGATGCGGGGATACCGCTGTCCATCGTCCAATGGCTGGGGAGGGGAGGGAGCGGGAGACAGGGCACACCCTACACAACCGCAACCCTACGGGCGTGGGAGAGAGTAGCACAGAGATGCAGACTAGCGCCATTCCCATCCCCCCTTCTCCTTCTCACGCATAACGACAGCTTCCCACCGGGGCTAGACCCCAACGCATTCAAGGACTTAATCCGACATAAACTACCCAGACAACACCACCTCCTGGCAGGCATGGAATGCAAAACACTCCCGACCCTATTAGAGGGAGCAACCCCCACCCTCCTACACCACCTAAAACACAGACAGCTACAGAGCTATGTACACACCCTCCCGGGGGGCACGGCACGGAAACGTGACCCTACCACATTCGAAAATAATGTGTATGGACCTAGACCCGCAACCACACGGGATCTCACTCATTTACTCCATGCTACAGAGGGAAACACCAACTGAGAAACCCAAATTCATGGGGAGGTGGGAACAAACATTGGGGAAAACTTTCACAGACGGGGACTGGGAAAAGATATGCTACTTAACGCATCACTGCTCAGTCTTCAGCAAAACACAAGAAACGGCATTTAAATTGTTAATGAATTGGTACCGCACCCCGATTGCACTCCATGCCATGGACCCGGAACACACGGATCTCTGCTGGAGGTGCAATAGAGCGGCCGGCACAGTACTCCACCTTTGGTGGGCCTGTGAAGCCATAAAGCCCTTCTGGCAGGGTATACACGGTTTTCTCAAAACCTTCTCAGACACGCCACCCCCCTTCCTCCCAGAACACATGCTCCTTCACCACACAAAGTCACCCAGAACGAGATACAAGCACTCACTAACCATTAGAATCCTAAACGTTGCCAAACAGGTGATCCCTCAATTCTGGAAGCAACAAACGACACCCCCGTTGACATCCTGGTTCTCCCAAATGGAGGAACTCAGAGCCATAGAGGAACTCATTATGACCACATCCAACTCCTCGAATAGGTACACGGACATATGGACCCACTGGATACTGACTACTACCAAGGCAGAATTCACAACCAGGCTCCAATACGACACGTAAGGACACAGTGACGAGGCCGCATAGACTGACAAACACAGAGACGACCTAGACAGACGTGACCCAGACGCGGACGCACCCCGACCCCCCCCACTTCCCCAGACGCCACTACCCGGACACCCCCCCAATCCCAAACACTGCGTGCGAACAGACAAGTATTAGGCATACGCCAGTGACAACATAAGAGAGGACTTATAAGGCCTCCGGGGAGACGCTCACTCCTCCATGAGGGGACAACAGAACACATGACACCCACGCGCATGTTCTCCAGATCAGGCCACGGGACTTAACGCGGGGCTCAAAGGGGCCAGCGGACCCACCCTGATACCTTAGCGTTTACTTGAGGTAATACCTGACCGCCTTACTGCAACGAGACTCACGGTCCGACACCCGACTATAACACCCGCTACATTGTGACCGGCACGTCACCAATGCTGGTTTTGCAGAACGTCATTCCTTTCCAGCGGCTGCTTAGGTCCTACCCTAAGTGGACCTGCGAGTCCACACTGAAGTTTGCCTAATGTTACTTAACAAACGGAGCAACTGAACACAATCGATACACCAGTTTAGGGACAAGAACTGCATGATGTAAGGGACCTGCGAGTCCACCGCAACTGTGGGCCTGCGCGCCCGGTTGGCCGACATAAAAACGCTATGGACATGTTGTACTCTGGTTATTGTGCCCTAAAGGCCTACGGAGACCTGCGAGTCTCAATGTGACTTATTATCGACAATGTAAACTGAAATAAAAACATATTTACAAAAAAAAAAAGAATAAAAGTATATAGTTAAACAATATAAATAGTATTTAAAAAAAAAAACAGACACAAACCTTTACAACAGGTGTGAAGTATCTAATAAGGAGGCAAAGATGAACATTCATATTGTCACCGTGCCATCCTTCTGGATACTGGGTTTATATTTTGTGAAGGGAAGCCAAATATGTTTAGGGATTTACTACATACTTCATGATCTCTGGGTGTTCAATTGAAGGTGATGTGGACAAAGTGATTGGTTTAATTTCATTGTTCTCAAAATAAAAGCTGGCATCAAGAGCGTAATCTCAAAATCTCATCACAGTTTCTTTTAGATCTTGAATGATGTTCAGCAATGGGAAATATATAGAGACTTCCTGTAGTACTCTTCAGTAGATTCTTCATTGTAGTTAGATCTATGGATCTTTCTTCCTACAAGACATCGTAGTTCCATCTCCACTCTAACTTCAGAAGCCAAATCTGTTGCCTTAGTACATAAGATGGTGAAAAAACTGTAAAAGCGACATTATCTGTTTTCCAGGATGCTCAGGGTGAGACAATCAGATGCGTTGGCAACTAAGGTAGACGACTCAGATGCAGGGTTATTTACAGCACATCAGTAAGTGAACCTAAAGAAATCGTGACTTCTGCACTGTAGAGAGAATGAATAAAAGTAGATGTAGATGAACAAGTGCTTGAGCACTTCCACTCAGATATCGCTGTTAGCGCTCTCGCTATTTTTACAAGTCCATCATAAAATACCTGATTGATTGGTTAAATATAGAAATGATAGATTTTACCACTGACACTGCATTGCAAACTGCAGTCACGTGTGAGTACTTTGATATTGAATTGGTAAGGGCATGATTGAATGGGCTTCTGCAATTGTTGGGTGCTGCACTTAATATTTGTGATACAGCACCAGCTGCTTCAGAGAACATAACACTGCAGCTGTCTGTTCCTACACCAATATGTTGAGTTATGTCAAGAAACATTTTTTTTAAAAACTAGTCGAATCATTATTTTGCGCCTTTCCTGTGAGTTTTGGCTCAATATGCCTATCCACAACAATGTTCACATCTGAACAATCTCCAGATTTGGATGACTTTTAGATAATGAGGTTTCCCAACTTTAGAGATCACATTTTGAACGGAATATGGGAATTCGACACCAGGATGAGGTTGCAATGGATTGTCCAATAGTAAACCTTTGGTATTGTCATCAGTTGTTTTTCCAATGTAATGGTGCCAATGTAAATCATAATGATAGCACCGGTTTGAACAGAGGTATCAACAGAGGACACGTTAGCCTCTTTTTCAGAAGCCCTTGACCCCAGTAATGAGTTTGACATAGAAGAGGATGGACCACAAGCAGCTCGATCACTTGAAATACCTTCAGAGACTTTGCTTTGTTGCAGTTCCTGTGGTTATGAGGACTATGACTTTTTTGTGAGTTTAGGAGTAAATAGAGCTGTAGGGACTGCTTATACACAGATACTGTTATATGTTTGGTGCTTTATGTAAACATTCACTGTCAGAATCTTCTGCACTATACAACAAAAAGACCAACAGTGAAAAGACCCTGCTTCAAATATGAAGTCAGGACTTTACAAGGAGACCCTATCACTGTTACTGTAACAGAAAAATAACAAGACTTTGTTTCAGGCCAAACTACAATTCAATGTAGTACATAAGCTTCACAAAATATGCAGCTTAGAAAATGTTTATTTTAGATTAAAGACAAAATATCACATGTTTCAGCAGACAGGCTTTAATCATACATGAATAAAGCCTGTCAGATGAAACATTCTATGCTGTTTTAACCTAGACAATCTAAATAAAAATGTTCTACGCAGTTTATTCCGTGAAGCCTATATACTTCAGGAATATATTGGTTTTATGGGCCCCTCAATTCTGCAGCAGACTCGCTTATGATCAATATTCCTTTGTGCAGCATCCTACCAGTATTGCAGCTACTAAGAGAGCCAGACTAGCAATTATACTGTGTGTTTTGCCATTGGTGTACTTGTGTAGGAGTAGTTGACAGCACTGGTCATTGATTCTAGTGTGAGACTAGGTTTAGCTTGCTGCTTGATCTATTATACAATTCGCAGGGCACTTGAAACAGCTTTGAGTGGGCGATAGAAAATTGGCATTTGAGTATGAGATAGAAGATTGCTATTTTGTCCCTAGTGACTGCGTTACTTGTTAATTTATTTATGTATTTATATTAAGTGTTTAGAGAACGCTATTACTTCTTTTGGTGAGTGTGGTGTTCTGTAACAAAATTTTAAAAAGTTCCTTTAAGCCTGGGTCCTTGGTTCTAGTGTGAGGCTAGCCTTAGATTGCAGCTGGACATTTAAAACAAATTTAAGTGGGAGCTTTTTTTATTGTTAGTGTGAGATTAGGTTACCGACATACTATGGTTAAAAGTTTGGATATTTTTATTTTTTTGTCAATCTCTGTTTTATTGAGGCATATGATACATTGTACATTGCACAAAATAAAGAGTTAAAAACAAGTGTATATATGTACATAGAAAACAGGATTATCTTAAGTTAAGTAGGCGTTTAAAAATAAACTCCTAGCAGTAGCTGCCTCTTTTTAAAGTTATATAGGTTAAGTAACGTAAGAAACAAACATAGTATGTAGAGCAACTTGCTCCAGAGAAAAGAAAAACCTGGTCAGTCAAATAGTTACGCTGGAGTAGAGAATGCCAGCTGTCTTTGCGATATATATAAACCTAAAGGTGAGTATACCAGAACAGGGTCGCCAAAGGCTATAACCCACAGTGCTAACATAGGGTTAATAATTCAATGTAGGGATGTCGTGGGGGGAAGAAGAGGATAGTATGGGGAGGTAAACCCCATTTGCCAGCAGGTACAGCTAGGCCGTACAAAAGGGTGAGCATCTAAGGACACTCGACACGATATAGCTTGAAAGTAATAAAATAAACGAGTGAAATACATAACATTAGTAACAATGAAGGGCAATATAGGTTGCCATCAGGTTGCGATCACGGTATCACTGCAGTTGCAGGGCTCCCCCTAAGCACAGATGGAACAAAAGGGCAAACCCTATCTTGGTCCCAGGAACTCTGTGGTAGTGATGTCGTTGAAGGATGTGGCTCTGCCGTGTCGTCAACAGTCACAGTGTGTGAAGGACAGTAGTTGTCTCCGAGGCATCCAAAACACTTATAGTCACAGAGTCCCTAGGGATGATCAGGCATCGTGGAGTACCTCACTTGTATGGCACTTTGTGGATAGCTAGCTCCTTAGTTAGGGACCGTAAGGATCTCTCTCCGCCAGTGCAATGTGGCTTTGGACAAATCTGGGTTGAACATTGAGTGGTTGTCTTCAAACCTGTATGGTGACTTGTTGCGAACCGCTATATCATACTATCATATCATACTGCCTGCTTGTTAGCTATCCCCGTGACCCCTAGGGAAGCCCCGCTGGATGACCAGGAGAGCTTGTCGGAGAGAGGCGCAATGACAGGCCTCTGCAGCCTCTACAGCAACTCCCCTATGTCGGCAGTCACTGTTTTTTTTTCGGGTCTGTATTTCTTGTTTTTACGTCCCATCGTCATGGAGATGATTCCTCTTGTTTTTAGAAGCACTGGGGTGAGTAAAAGCTGAAATAATCAGTATTATTGCACTGCTCTGCAGGGAGCTCATCAGATGCACGTCTGCTTATTATAGCTAGGGATTTTTTTATTGACGTTTTTTAGAAAGAAAATCCTATTCTTTTTTTTCTGAGTGTGTTCGGTCCAGTGAGTGCTGTAAAAGTGTGCTGAATAAGGTTGTGTTAGTTTACACATTTATTGATATGATAAAATAGAAGGGTTGGTGTAGCGCCAAAGATGTCCTTAAAAGTATATGTAACGACAAAGAAAGGAAACTAATAGTATAATATGATAAAAGATAAGATAAAAAGTAAGCACTCACACATTTTAGAAGCTTAGACTCCGCTCCATCTTGAACACTTGGGTGGAATTATTCCAGCCTAAGGATATAGTGTAGTACAGGTTCTGTGTATAGTCCTTGTAGTAATAGTAGTAGATATTCACGAAGATATGTGAAAGAAAAATAAAATATATAGTGCAGTATGCCAGACTGAATAGCAGCAATAAATTAGTGTAAAAATCTGCACTCGCATTTTATGGAGCCTGAATAGTGGCTCCACAGGTATAGCGTGAAATGGTGTGATCCCCACTCTAGAATATAGGTGATGGTGGTCTCTCTCTCTCTCTCTCTCTCTCTCTCTCTCTCTCTCTCTATATATATATATATATATATATATATATATAT